ATAAATTTAAAAAGATCCTATGTTATTGTGTTGCAATGATATAAAATACGATAAATGCCTAAAACCTCTCATAAATCATATCACTTTCAGATCTTTAAAGTAGGATCTTTATGATTCTCCTCCTAGTTGTATATTATAAATGACCCTTGCCCTGTGTAGTCAAAATTAGACTTTATGATTTGACTTTTTAAGATTACCTATAAATCAGTTTATATTTTAATGCAAAGATAGAAGTAACTGCTTTTCAAAATTCTTCAATGCCTTCTGAATAATTCACAAAATAACTCTTCTTGAATTCTGACTTTATTAATATTCTTTGTATTATAATTCTGAATGTGTAAATAACAAACTGTTGCTTTGCTTGCTAATCTGATATGTTTAAAAATAAATTTTCATAAGCACTAAATATTCATTTTTTTTATTTAGAATGTCCACATTCTCTGAACACAATCTTTTGTGTTCCTTTGTTCAGTATGTTTCTGTGTGTTTTTCTGTGTTTACCCTTCTATTCATAAAATTAATACTGTAGGGGCAGATGTGCCAAATGATTTCATAAGAAAATTACCTAAAATTGCTTTTGGCAATTTTATTTGTTTTGATCTTGTGATTGTGTAGTTTTTTGGTTGTTTCCTTTTTTTTTTTTTTGAGACAGGGTCTCACGCTGTTGCCCGGGCTAGAGTGCTGCAGCATCAGCCTGGCTCACAGCAACCTCGAACTCCTGGCTCAAGCGATCCTTCTGCCTCAGCCTCCGAGTAGCTGGGACCACAGGCATGCACCACCATGCCCGGCTAATTTTTTCTATATATTTTTAGTTGACTGATTAATTTCTTTCTATTTTTAGTAGAGACGGGGTCTCGCTCTTGCTCAGGCTGCTTTCAAACTCCTCAACTCAAACAGTCCGCCCGCCTCGGCCTCCCAGAGTGCTAGGATTACAGGTGTGAGCCACCGTGCCCGACCTGTTTCCTTTTTTTAAACATGGTATCTATGAACCATAGCTAGGAAAAAAGAACCATTTTTATAAGTAGAAGAACCATTTCTATAAATAAAATAACTGAAGAAGCCCAGGATCATAAGAACATATATATTTGTGAATAGATACTATTTCAATCTTGTTTTTATAGGGTATGCCATAGACTAAATTCTCGTTCACAGCTGTTGCCTTGAACAGGTTGGTTCCCAGAGAGTCTGAGCACAGACCTGCTGCAGCCAGGAGTCCCACCAGAGTCCCCATAGCACTCAGTTTTGTCTGAAGGACACAAAATGCAACTATGACTACACCTCCCAGTTTCAGGCTGTGCTTTTAAATGTGCAGAGAAGTTATGAAGATTTTTTGAGCCATCAGAAGAAATGTTCAAAAAGCAAGAAAATATTCTTCAGTCATACTCCTGCCACATCTTAGAGTGGTTCATTTGTTTTTTAATTTTTATTTATGATATTTTCCTTTATTTTTGTTTTGCCAAAGAGTAAATGGCCCGTATAATTCTAGTTTAGTTATTTCTAAGGGAAATTGAAACCATCTCATTCCTAAACTCAAAGACAATTTTGCCTTCCCAAAAGTGGGGGATTTAGTTCCAACACCAAGTAGATTTAGGGATGGTAGTAAACTATTAATCATTCTCGGAAAAACTCCACTTCCACTTAGACTAAGACAAGTAGGGAGAATGCTTCAGAATGTGGTACCATCTCTTGACCTCTTCTGTTTGTCCAAACCAACAGGTTTTCAAGTAGCCCTTTAAGATCCTCATTCTCTATTACTGGGAAGTTACTCAAAGTTCCTCCAACATTCATACTTGGCTGAGGAACCATAAGTTCATCCAGGATGACTATGACCAACGTGAATATCATTATTCCTCAGCATTTTGCCTGTAGAAAGGCATAGCATTTATTTTTACTCTTGTGGATTAAACATACCCACTGTCTTCTTCCACCTTCATATCCAGTTTTTTCTCTCCTGTTTTAAATGTTTTTTGGTTGTGGGAATCTCATCTGATGATGCCAAGTATATGTTTTTAGCTCATCATCATCTTACTACTTGAACCACTTTCCCTGATGATGATGTTGCAAGCACCTTGCGAGGCTCTCAGGTTGTGACAGCTCATTTGTTCATCCCCTCTGTTGTTTGGAACTTTTAGTACAACAGCCATTTGTGAAGGAACCCAGACTGTCCAGAGGTGGTGATTGTCACTGCTGTTGTTATTGATGTTGTGTCATTGAACTTTGTATTCAACACTCTGTAGTGGTTGTCATTTTGAAATAATTATAAAAGAGGTCATTTTAAAAATTGACCTCAGGAAAGTAAAAATGAAGGACTTGTTATACTGAATGTTGATTTCTTAGTCTTATATAGGTTAGATTGTGTTATTGATTTGAATGTGAAGGTTAAATTCTGTACCTTTATGGCCATATTTCTGCTAGAAGCCACTGGGTTGTTGGCCTCAGTAATCCATCGTGTTACCCATGAAGTCAACTTTTGTCCTAGAAGGTTCTGTGGAGATTACCATTTAGAAAAAGGACTTCCTATCTCCCAAACTTCGAATTTTATGGTTCTAATAAAACTTCAGTATCATTATGCAGTAACAGTTTGGCTGTATTTTAAATGAGGTAGACGAGGACAAGAGGGAATGATTTTAAAAGATTTCCTATAGAAAAAAAGAACTGGTAGATTTCCTATGTTGCTAATAGCACAAATTAAATACTAGATCCCTGGATGTTGAAGAGGCTGAGGAATAGTAGGAAGTATGTAGTAGCAGATAAATGATCTGATATCATTGATGTGTGGCTGTTCCAGATTTCACAGATGCTCAAATTACACTGCAGGGTAAAAATAAGTTCTTTCTTTTACTACATTAAGTAGAACAGATTTGGTATAGAAAACTTTTTGTGGAAAACAGATTATATGTGTATGTATGTATGACAAACATATACACATGTATATATACAGAAGATCTGTGAAGATGGAGGAGAAATATGAAGTGTAATTTGGAAAACTGAGAGAGAATTGGAGATATAAGAATTTAAAATATTTTTCTGTCATTCCAAAAAGACTAAAGCAACCATGCTGTTTTTTCAGTCTGGACTGTTAAGTGATTCTGAGAAAGTACATCTCAGTTAATTGGAAATGAAATGATTGCTCAGCAATCTTGACAAGCCAGGGTCTGTCAGATGGAGGCAGAGTTGAATGGTTACAAGGAAATACCGTTATCCCTTAATCTCATCCACCAAAAAAAGGGGAAAAAATGAAACAAAGCTCTAGGATTCTTCTACTGGGTTATGCACAGGTGCACATCACTAAATCAAACCTGTGCTTTTAGTTTTTCGTAGTTGATTTTTATAAGCATTGTCACCACACACTGAGGAACTTGAGGGTTTTTTTTTTTTCCCTGCCATACAGGGACTGGCTTCCTCCTTAGAAAGTTCTTCAATTCGAAAATCCCAACACTATTCCTAATGTTGAGTCTCAGCAAGCCAGCTATTATATGTAGCAGGGGATTAAGCAGGGTCTTAAAGAACCCTGGTATCCTTCTCCTTAGTTTTTTCTCCCAGTAAGAAATAAAAAAAAAATTCTGCCTGGCCACCAGAAGGTTATAACCTGTTCATTTTAGCCTTCTCACATTATTTAATCGGTTTTTCCTGAACTTATTTTTTCTTCACTACCATTTATTGAATGCTTTTTGACTTCAAATAACGTGATATCACATGAATAAAATGATATGCTTATTTATTTTACCTTAAAATCACAGGCCATTCATCAATTGGTAATTCTCGGTCTTGTTTTAGGGTGGAGGTTATATTCAGAAAGTAGACTTCAGGTGTTTGAGTTATCTGCAATGAGAATGATGAGCATTTCTCACAACATGAATGCACCTTTGAGCTCTTTTCAATGCTAAGATTTAAGAAAAGTCAACTTCAGTTAAAAACTCTCCCTCTCCCTTGTCTGATTATCTTTCATGCTCCCATATCCCATCCTCTCCCTCCCCCATCCTGTGTTTTCTACCCCTTCTCTTCTCCCATTCACTGTCAGGAAGGGCCACCTGCGAAGGGCCAGTTCAGCACAACTCGGCGCCGGCAGAGGCTAGCGGCAGCAGTGGCTACAACAGTGAGTGGATTTCAATCTCAAGTGGAAGCTTAATAAGAATGAGAACTTGTGTGCAAGGGTGACCCCACCCTCCCCCCAGGCCTGATGGTGCCACCCGTGTGCAGTGGCGTCACCTGTAGCCCACTCATGGCAGCATAGCTTTCGCATGTTCTCTGGCTGTCTTTGC